TGGAGCTTGGGGAGGGCGAAACCGCCCCCTGTGGTGAAGGAGGCCGAGTAGGCCACGCCCACCATGGCCACACCCACCCAGCAACTGGGCAGAGAACCGGTTGCTAAAATTTTTGAATCCCACCCCTGCCTCTATCCCTTCATTCCCATTACAGATAGTCCTCGACTTACCGCCACAATTGAGCCCAAAATTTCTGTTTTGAACGAAACGTTTCTTAAATCAGTTTTGCCCCTTTTTACGACCTACTTTGCCATAGTTGTTAAACGAATCACTGCAGTTGTGAAATCAGTAACACAGTTGTTAAATGAATCTGGCTTCCCTATTGACTTTGCTTGTCAGAAAGTCACAAAAAGGGATAACATGACCCTGGGAGCCTCCTATAACCATCATAAATATGAGTCAGTTACCATACCAAGCAACTGAATTTTAAATCACATGATCATGGGGATGCCACAACAGTTGTAAGTGTGAAAAACGTTTTTTCTCAGTGCAGTTTTAACTTTGAATGGTCACTAAATGAACTGTTGTAAGTCAAGGACTATCTGTACTTTCCAGATAGAACATGGAGAAATATACACATTGGCATGTGTTACCTGTCAACCTATTGCCCCCAATAATCTGGGTCCTCGTTTTACTGACCTCAGGAGGATGGAAGGCTGAGTCAACCTTGAGCTGGTCAGGATCGAACTCTTAGCAGTGGGCAGAGTTAGCCTGCAATACTGCATTCTAACCACTGTGCCACCACAGAATGGTGTTGCAGTGCAATTAAAGAATGGAAAGGAGTGGCACTAATTTATGGCAGTTGAGCAGGTAGGGAGGCTAGGCTACAATGAAATCTCAAGAGAACAAGGGGCAGGGGCTCCGTTAAAATGATGCTGGCAGTCTAGTGAACATGCCCATGTGCTCTCTGGAGAAACATTTCTGTTTTGAAACTGAACCACTGCCCATTGCTATTTCGAGGACATCCAATTCAATATAGTGGTTAAGGCACCAGGCTGGAAACCAGGAGAGCATGAGTTCAAGTCCCATTTTAGGCATGAAAGCCAGCTGGATGACCTTGGGCCAGTCACACACTCTCCGCCCAACACACCTTAAAGGTTTTGTTGTGGTGGGGAATATTTTATTTATTGATTGATTTGATTTGATTCGTATGCCGCCCTATCTCCATAGGACTCAGGGCGGCTCACAACAATTAAAATCAAACCAGATAAAAACATATTAAAATACAAATTAAACGTATGTTAAAACTCATTAAAATAATAGGAAGTATAGGAATATAGGGGTATTAGGAATGTTCACTGCCTTGAGTTACTTATACAATAATAAAGCTGGGATAAAAATCTAATAAATAAATAAATCACTACTCCAGAGTTATTGTTCCGGTAAAAACTCCATTTATAAAGTCTTTTAATCTGTTTCCTTTCTGGTGGGGTTTGCTGTAAGTCCCCTACACTGCCATACTTTTTCTTCTTTCTGTAGGGAGAAATAGTCATTATTTACTTTTCCTGATGTCTCTATTCTGTTTGTTTGTTTGTTTGTTTAAAATAGGTCCTTACCTACTTTGCCAGCAGCAATAACAGGACATAATGTTATAAACAAATATATGTTATAAACAAATATATGTGCTGCTCATGGGTTGGTTCTACTTACCTTTACTACTACTGGTTCGCAGTGGGGCTGTGTGCCTGCACTTGCTTCGCTCGCGCACATGCGCTCTTCTGCACATGCGCGGAAGTGTTTTGATGACGTCGGGGTCAGTGGGCGGAGCCTCCCACCGGTTTTACTACTGGTTCTATAAAATTGGTGCGAACCGGGGGCAACCCACTACTGGTGCTGCTGCTTAGGGGGAGAAATAGATAGAAAAACATTCCAATGTAATAGCAGTTTCATTCCTGCACCTTCCCCATTTTATCAGTTCTCCTGGAGAAAGAAATTCATATTTTACACAACAGGAATGTTACCCGCTGCTTTTAAAGTAACCTGCCCTTTTTATGCCCTTTCTACTGCTCAGCATGAAAACATAATTATTTTTCTTTCGGAGAGACTAGGGTATTAAGCAACTATATTTAACTTGAAAATGAGACATAGCCATTGGGTTTTCTTTTTTTTAAAAAAGGGCAAAGGCTGAGTTTATTTGTAACATGCTTTTTTCTCAGGGAAACTGAGAAATAGCCCAAAGAGGTAGGTACTCCATAGAGCAGCGGTGCTTCACTTCAAGTTACTGTTGGGTATTTTTTTTTATGAATCAGAAAAAAGTGAGACTTGTTAAGACATTAAAAAGTAATTTAGAAACAATATAAAGGTAGTCCTCGACTTACAGCCATTCATTTAGTGACCGTTCAAAGTTACGTTACTGAAAAAAGTGATTCATGACCATTTTTCACACTTGCAACCATTGCAGCTTCCCAAGGTCATGTGATCAACATTCAGGCGCTTTGTGTGACGGAGACTCCAGCATGAGATTAATTGAGCCCAAACAGCATTAAACTTCATCCATTTTGTGATGTTAAGTAATCTTCCTGTGAGATGAGATGCAGTCCTAGAGAGGCCCCATGAAAGTGGGATCTCTCTAGGCATTCTGACTTTGTGTCTGCTTTGGTTTTCACCTCACCCAATCACAAGAGTGGAAGACATTCCCTCAAACCCATGTGCTCTTCTAATAAAGGAGAATATTTGTAGCTCAGGATTGACACGAGGGGTCCTTGGTGCTCTCTGAGCTTGCTTCTTTTCTTGCAGACATTTCATTACCCTAACTAGATAGCATCATCAGGACTAACACTGATGACGTTACCTAGTGTGGGTAATGAAACGTCTGAAAGAAAACAATCAAGTTCAGAGAGCACCAAGGACCCCTATGTGCTCTTCATGTGAAAATTATTCCAGTCATTTTTGTCCCTTTATTTCTCTTCGTCGGCTTCTGCTTCCTACCATCAGCTGCAGCTTCAGAACCCTTGTGTTTTATTATTTATGTATTTTTGTTATTAATTATTTATGTATTTATTTATTATGCCACCTTTATTATTTTTATTAATAACTCAAGGCAGGGAACACACCATATACTTCTTCCTCCTATTTTCCCCACAATAACAATTCTGTGTGGTAGGTTGTGCTGACAGAGAGGGACTGGTCCAAAGCCAGCCTGCTTTCATGTGAAAGGCGAGACTTGAACTCCCAGTCCCCCAATTTCTAACCTAGTGTCTTCACCACTACGCCAAACTAGTTCTAGTAATACTACTAGCAATACTACTAGCAATACTACTAGCAATTTGCTCTATTAATTGTACCTGAAGTATTCATTTTTTAAAAAAAAATTGTTAGACATACCGAGATTTGAGTTTCTTTAAGAATTGGTTTCTTTTTGTGGAGCTTTTTACTTCCAGTTACATTTTTAATAATATCATGGGCTGGAACAGGGATGAAATCCAGCAGGTTCTGACAGGTTCTGAAGAACCGGTAGCGGAAATTTTGAGCAGTTGGGAGAAACGGTAGTGAAAATTTTGAGTAGTGGACTGACTGGACCCCGAGTGGGGAGGGAATGGAGATTTTGCAATATCCTTCCCCCAGGAGTGGGGCGGGAATGGGGATTTTGCAGTATCCTTCCCCGCCACGCCCACCAAGCCACACCAAGCCCACCAAGCCACGCCCACAGAACCGGTAGTAAAAAAAAATGGATTTCACCACTGGGCTGGAACCAGACTATAATCCTAGAGAAATTGAAAATATTATCTTCTGAGAGATATGGTTTGAAATGTGAAGAATCAGTAAAAGAGGGAATGAGAATTTAATATAAAGAAGAAATGGAAGCATTTATGTACAAGCCAAGCAATTCTTTGTGTTGCATCCTGAAACAAAATACAAAATAAAATATGACATCCTGCAAATCCTTGCAGGAATTGCAATAATATACACAAATGTGCGTTATGGCTGCTGGAACTTGGGCAAAATTATTTATATAATTTTGTTATATTATTATATAGTTTATATTATATAAACATTCCCAGATTAAGAAATATTGATTAAATATTGTCCAAGGAATTTAAGACTTTGGATATTAGGCCCAATTAAAACCCTCCATAAAATAGTTTGAAGCAATATGGAAAACATATTTATCTATTAATTATGATTAGTATATGGTTGCAAAGTATAGTTCTTTTAGAAATTCTGGTGAGTAGAGGAAGTACAATACTCATGAATTTGATCAATGTCTATAGACGTAGATAGCAAGAGCAACTTTGCAGAGAAACTGGATTTTAATCAATATTGAAATTTATATTGACTAAACCACTCTAGTCCAGGGATGTCCAACCTTGTGAAGTTTAAAATGGGTGGGTTTCAATTCCCAGAATTGGCTGACTGTGGAATTCTTTGTGTTGAAGTTTACAAGTCTTAAAGTTGACAAGGTTGGACACTCCTAATTTATTATTGAGGGAAGCTCTTCCACTTTTCCTTCTGCTGTGTGACAGCTGTAAACACAGGAGGGGGGGGTTTCTTTCTTTTATTGGAACCAGAATCTGGAACAGCTTGCCTCATGAGATTTCGTTATTTCATAGTTTAGAGATCAATTCAATTCTTTTAGATACCCATTTTATAAAATATTACAAGATTGCTTTATTTTTCTCCTTTCTTATTTATTTTAAAAACTGGTTTGTTTTAATGCTTTATTGTTGTCAACTGTACTGAAGATTTGTCTTAGAATGGAAAATATAGAATAAACACACGTTTATTTATAAACCACACAGTGGGAATCTCGTGTGTGAGGCACTTATCTTCTTATATCTATTACACTTCCATGAAATAAGGCACTAATTTGTATGCTACAGCTTCTTTAAAACTGCACCCAATCAAACATTGGCTTAGTGGGAGGGCTCAGTACAAGTATTATTAACATGTATTATTATACTAGCCATGATATGCCTCTGTTCTTCAAAGTGTTGCCTATCTAACTTATTCTAATGAGGAGATTCTGAAAACTTGTCATTTCCCCCCCCCTTTTTTTTAAGGCTGTGAAGAGTTACTGAAAGATGCTTTATCTGTTGAAAGTCTTGGACTTCGGCACTATGAGACGGAATATGTGGATTACTACTATCAGGTAAAAAAAATATGACTTTTTGAATAAAGTCAATATTATTCTATATTCTTTCTCCTACACTTTCCCTACTTTTATTCACATTATCAAATTGCAAGTTGGTGAACATGGAATTCACAGCATCAAAACAAAGTCACTGCAAGATTGAAATGCTTGAAACTTGGGCAGCGTTTCAAAGGCCGTGATTATTTGCAATTTCCAGTTTCTGCAGTTCATGCTATGAACCAGAAATATGAAGGCACAGACCAAGACATGGTTGGGGAAACATCTTGAACAACTGAATTTACACAGCTGAACCTTCTTTGTTGTTGGGTAGTCCTTTTAGAAATGCTAATGAATGTACTGATTGAGAGATTTGTTAGGTTTCAAAGAAATGCTTTTGTTCTTTTGGTTGCAACACAAACATATTTGAAAATTTGCCTTTTAAAAACTTGAGCAAAGCTGAATGTGCTTTTTTTTTTGACAACTAGAGATTCATAGAGCTAACTGGAAAGTCCTTAAAGAATAAGCATTCTGTTGATTTTTGTTACATGGTCTTAAACTGGCATGCATTTTTTCCCTTTGGGTATTGAAAAAGAGCTTTTTCGATAATGGTTAAATAAATAATTTTATGCTTTCATTTTCTTTGGGCATTGCATGTACATAGACAATGAAGAATTTTCAGGGAAATCTGTTTTTGCCAGGGGCCTATTTCTAGATTCCATGAGAGTCATATGTCCCATTCTACTTTTGGAGAATCTTGTGCTCTAGTGGTATGCTATGTGGGAAGTTCCTTTGACTAAGACATTGGCTTGTCAACTGGCTTCAAAGTTGAAAACTAAGTTGTCCATGTCTACTGTAGGAAGTTAGCACCCACCCCTCTCCTAGAAAAATGAAATATTCTAGGAAATATTAAAAAGGCAGAATATTTCCTCTAAAAGAGAAATAGAAATCTTAAGATAGAAACTCAGCCCCAGCCCCCTGTCCCCAGCAGATACTTTGGTTATTTACAAGACAAAAGGCTGGGCCATCTTATCTACTGTACAACACAAAAGACGGGGCCCTCAGGACATGATGGGATTAGCCCTCACTCAAGATCCAAACCAGGAAAAAGCCATTGAGGCATAATAGGAATTGCCCAAAGCCCCTTCATTACATCATCACCCAGCAAGATTCAACCAGGCCTGGGACACAGACAGCCTACAAAGTTAGCTAAGACCCCCACCCCCTGGGAGTCTGACAGCCAATGGATACATTTCTTGTACAGGAACAGGAAACTCTAAGGCAGGGCCCAAGAGAGTGTATAAATATATCTCTCTCTCCACTCCATGGGCTCTTTTTTGCCCAGGACCGAAAAACCCCATGTGGTTCCTGTCCACCATTAAACCATCTTTCCAAGCAGTCTCCATATTTCCAATGTCTTTCATCCCACTTGGAACTGAACCCAGATGGACATTTCTTCCAACACTACTATGCACATTGCCTTTCTCCACTGCTGAGCTGAAGTGCTACTCCCCTCACCCTTGAGAGATCCTGTAATCATCTCATTATGTTCCAATCATAATATGGCATAGGGCCTGGGTATTTGAAGAACCTCCTCTCTCTGATAGCTTCTGTGCATCCAAGGTAGATTGGGAAGAGTGGGTATGCTCCAGGTCTTTTTGATTAAACAGTGTCTCCTGCGTAGATCTGGGAAGCACACCTCCTTTGTCACTGCTCTTTGGAACAACCCCCAAGAAATTCATGTGGTTCCCATCCTGGTGACATTCCCCAATTCTTTAAAGATCAGGCCTTGTGGTAAGGTGTGTACAGAGTCCCCGTTAGTTGTTTATTTAGTATATTGTTGATTTCTTTTGGAAATACATGGTTAGTTTTTCTTTAGTTAATTAAATACATACAGTAAAATTGTTGTCCCTGTCCTCTATCCTGCTGCTGTTGCAAATCCCCGCAATGTTTGCCTTCTCTTCAAGGTAGTGGATGATTGTGTAAGTCTACTGTAACACTAGTGGGCTAAAGATGACTTAAGGTGGACTGACAGGTAGCTTCAGGCAAGATGAGAGCATTTATGGGAATAATAATAATAACTTTATTGTCATTGTATGTGTATACACAATATTACCATACAACGAAATTTGTATTTAACACCCAAAGACCAGGTCCAACACACATAACAATCCCCAAACACACTCCCACCCACCACAATTCCCCACCCCTAAACCACCCAAACATCTACACAACAGACCAAGTAATACTGTCCAACAGCTCACTGATGGTAACCCAACTTTGAGAAACTGTGCTCCAAATTGAATCTGGTGAAGTTGGAGGTGCCCTCTCTTCCTAGTCTTTAGACTTAGAGGTGGTTTAATCTGGATTCCTACCACATAGGAGCCCCAGTGGCACAGTGGTTATTTATTTATTTATTATTTATTTATTTATTTATTGGATTTGTATGCCGCCCTTCTCCTGAAGGACTCAGGGTGGCTCACAACAATAAGAAACAGAAAATACAAAAGTTAAAAGACAAATTAAATCAGAATATCCAATAAATAAGGTTAAATGTGGGAATACAAATTCAAATTCAAGATTTAAGAATTTAAAAAGCTACAAAATCAGTTTAGAGTCAACCCAGGCCCACCCGTTGGAAGAGACAGGTCTTCAAGGCCCGGCGGAAGATTCGGAGGTCGGGGATTATCCGGAGCTCCAGGGGTAACGTATTCCAGAGGGTAGGTTAGAATGCAGAATTGCAGGATAACTCTGCCCACAGTCTGGAGTTTGATTCTGACTGACTCAAGGTTGACTCAGCCTTCCATCTTTTTGAGGTTGGTAAAATGATGACCAGATTTTTGGGGGCAATATCTGGACATTGTAAACTTCTCAGAGAATGCTATGAAGCACTATGAGCAGTATATACTGTAAGTCTAAGTGCTATTGCTACTGCTATTAGAACCAGCTCCTTCCATCTGTGCTTCTATGAAGATGGTGAAGCTGATATTTCAACATGGAGACATGGGGAAGAATTTATTCCTCCTTTTCAGTAAGTGAGTGGCACATCTGGAATGATAAGCTTCTTTAGACCCCATACACTCTTCTCCCTTCTGATCTGCATCATGAAACTTCACCAGGCCATCTAGTGCAAAGCTCTCAGAATCCCAGGCTCACTTAGAAGCCAAGCAACTATGAAAAACAGTGGATTGGGAGGGGGTGCTGGTGGTGGAAACCAGGCTTAATTCCTGAATAAAATATTCCTACCTGTGGAAGGAGCATGAGATAGTATTCCCAAGTTGGGTTGAGCATGGAAAAGTGGGATAGTTACTGTACTTTGTGGAAAACGCACCCAAGGATCAGATCCAGCCTTTCCCTGTGAGACTCTAAATAGGAATGGGAATGGCTATTTTTCTAGAATGCAGGATTCATTCTCTGCCTTGACATCTGATGAGCAGAAATGCAAGAAATTGCTAGATCTCTCAGAGAGGAAGAGTTTCGCTTGTGCACTGTATTGTTAGCAGTCAGCTAATGGTTAAAGACTCGTCATCCTTCCTGTCCATTAAAATTGAAAACAACCATGGGAACAGAATTAAGGAGGCAATAATTGTTATTTATTGCCACTTATTCTAAAAATAGTTAAAGAACATATGAGTCAATTCCTAAGCTAACATTTCCCAGCTATATCCTCCAAATGTGTTGGATATTCAACTCTCATATAATTCCTGACATATTCTCTCGTGGCTGGGATATGAGGATTATGTTGGACTTTAACTTCCAGATCCCAGCCAGTTGAGAATACGAAAGAACTGAAGAGTTATATTGATGTGAAGAATGTTGGGCATGTTGGTTTGGCCAAATACAGAGAGTCCTTGCCTTATGACCATAATTTCCATTGCTAAGTAAGGCAGTTGTTAAGTGAATCACGTCCTATTTTACAACCTTATTTGCCATGGTTTGCTTAGCAAATGGCTGCAGTTCTTAAACAATTCACATCGTCATTAAGAGAATCCAGCTTCCCGTATTGATTTTGCTTGTCAGAGATCAGCTGGGAAGGTGGCAAAGGTGATCACATGACCATGGAACTGTTGTAAATACACACCAGTTGCCAAGCATCCAAATTTTAATCCGATAACCATGGGGATGCTGCAATTGCAGGGACTTTTTTCAGTGCTGTTGTAACTTCAAACAGTTGCTAAACAAACGGTTCTAAATTGAGGACTATCTATATACAGTACAGTATTTTGAATTACCAGAACTGAGCTGCAAAATCCTGGACAATCAGTAGATGGTAGCAAAAGGATATATAGATAGTTCTAATATTTTCACGCCATCTAGTGGTTGTCCAAATGTTAGCAGCCAGATGTGTTAACCCAAATATACAATAGCAGGTGCTCCTTTTTATTCCAGGAAAAGCTATGGTAGTGAATGTGACGATCAGATTCACTTTTTCCTAGCTAAAGTCTCAAACAAGCAATCTTTTTGTAGATTTTTAACTTGTTCAATTCATTTTCTCATTGCACTTAGGTGTAATTAATAAATCAAATACTAGGAAAATAATTGCTTAGCTGTCTGAGATGTTTTATTCAGAGCTTGTAGGAAATACAGAAAAATACTAATTATGAAGAATGATGATTCAATACAACTGAAAAGTGATTTTTTTACACTATTCATTAATGGTAGCATCATCTTTCATAACACCATCAATTTGGAATGTTTTAAGGACTAAAATCTTTCAGAAATATGATGCTTCACTGAAGAAATCCATAATTCGTGTGCAGATTGTAAGAAAATTATTCTTCAGATTTGACCCTTCCCAGATTTTGTAACTGGATTTTCTGGCAACAATAGATGTTTATTTTAGAATATGGGGAACAGCCTTTTCTATGAAATTTGGAGGATCCCAACCGTCCTCACCTTCTACTAGGCTGTGAAGACCTGGCTGTTCCCCCTGATACTGACTGGGCCAGAATGTTAGTTGACCCTGATATATTGCAGGTATAGCTATGTTGTGAGTTTGTAATGGTACCTCAGCTTCTGTTATTATGGCTGTTCTTTTTTTACTTTGCTTATATTTATATCTCGGGATTTTATGGCTTATTTATTTCTGGACTGTTGTTAATCACCCAGAGTTACTTAGAAATTGTGTGTGTGTGTGTGTGTGTGTGTCTGTGTGTGTATAGTATTTCTTATATTATTATTAACACACTCTGATGCTAAGAGACATTCTACTCCCCCTCCCCACCTGAAAAGAACTCTGTTCCAACTGACACTTGGGCGTGGGCGTGGCCAGCACGTGACTCATCCGGCCTGCAGGCTGGAAGTTTAGACATTCTAATCCCCACCTGAAAGGGAGAGAAGGGATAAGATAGGAGAGACTTCTGCGGGGCAAGCCTGAGGGAGAGAAGGGGAGAGGAGAGGCCGATTGCACCTACTCATTAATTTTCAAGCTGTGTCGATTTTTCAAGCCCCATCACATAGTTTCATAGCAGAGCACAGGTATCCAGCTTGTGTGTGTGTGTGTGTGTGTGTGTGTGTGTGTGTGTGCATGTTTGATTGCTTCTCTTAATGACCACATAGTTTTTCTTCATGATGATCTGTGCCTAAACTGGTCTTTCAGATCTTCTAATGGTATGTGATCACTGCTATAAGTGATGAGTGGTCTGCTTCTTCTCTTTCTTTCCTAGAAATATTGCCTTTTCCAAAGAGCTAAGTCTTCCCATAATGCAGGAGTGGATTTCTTCGAGGACCAGATCAGCGTTGTAGTTCTCCTCTGTGGGCCAGCCGGGGGTGGTGGTGTAGGAGGAGACTGGATAGATGCCTCCTGCAGCACCTTGTCGGCCAGAAGGGGGCATGGGTGGGGGTGCACCATTTTGGCTGCCAGAAGTACCGTGGGCCGATCTTTTGCTATTTCAAGGCCAGCCCCGTAGGCCAGATTTAAGCACCCTGCGGGCCGGATCCAGCCCGCAGGCCTTGAGTTTGACACCCCTGCCATAATGCATCCAAAGTAGGATAATTTAAACCTTTGTTTGTGCCTCCAACGAGAGAGAGGGAGAGGGAGAGAGAGAGGTTATAAATATATATTTTGTGCAAATGCTTTCACAATCATTCTGAAAATTAAATATTTCTATCTCCAGCAGAATTGTCTTTAAAAACAAAATAATAAACTAATGCTGAAATCCTGCCTACCTAGCAGTTCGAAAGCATGCGAATGCAAGTAGATAAATAGGTACCACTGTGGTGGGAAGGTAACAGCATTCCGTGCATCTTTGGCGTATAGCCAAGCTGGCCACATGACCACGAAAATTGTCTTTGGACAATGCTGGCCCCGCCTCAGCCAAGAAACAGAGATCATCATTCATGCCCTAGTGTCAGACATGACTGATGGGGAAACCTTTATCTTTTAATACTGAAATATTAGCTTTTGACAAACATAGCAGTTTTCATAACTTTACAATGACATTTTGGAAGCTGAACCCTGCAGAAGACCAGGCAGCCCTGGATCTGAGAATTAATCTCTGCCTGTCCTTCCCTATCATTACTCTCTTGAAAATTTCTGTGATCTTGGAAGTGTTGACATGCGATGGTGAAAAAGGGCCACAGGGTGTCAGTGTAAGGTAAAATAAAACAACATTGTTTCTGACTTCCAGTATTTGCTTAAAGGAACAGCCAGCTGCTACTGCTGGTAAATCTTGGGATTTTAATCTTTCCTCTCCCCTAAGAACTGAAGAGAGAAAATATGTTATTTTAAGCAACCTTGGGGATTGAGATATTTCAACAACATCAAGAGGGCCTTGTAATGTGATCTAGCATATTGCTGGTGTTAATTTAATGTGAAATTGCAGAACAGTTCTTGGCTGCACAGCCTCTCAGGCTCCAGGTGTCTCTGAAGCAGCCAATTAATTATACACATGGCTCCTTTTTCCCCCTTTTACCTCTTGGTGCATGTCGATCTCATTTAAGTGTGTGCTTTCTGCATTAACAATTCTCAAGGACTGGCAGTGAAACCCCTGGGAAGGAGCAAGACAGAGCACTCTTGAAGGTGTTCAGTGAAGAAGCTTCTACTAAGAAGCCATTGTGGATAAAACTATTCGCCTTTCTTCTTCCATCTCAACTTTGTATGTCCTTTACTTCTCAATTTCTTTTTGTATGTTCATATTTATTAAGAATTTTCATATAATAAAAGACAAAGCAAAAGAGTTTCATGAAAAGAAGAGCCAGGGGTGACATGATAGCAGTGTTCCAATAAGAGGTTGCCACAAAGAAGAGGGGGTCAACTTATTTTCCAAAGCACCAAGAGGCAGGACAAGAAGCAATGGATCAAGGAAAGAACCAACCTAGAACTAAAGAGAAGTTTCCTGACAGTCAGAACCATTAACCAGTGGAGTTTTTTTAGGAAGAGATTGGACATCCATTTGTCTGAAGTAGTATAGGGTTTCCTGCCTGAGCAGAGGGTTGGACTAGAAGACCTCCAATGTCCCTTCCAATTCTGCTATTCTGTTAAATACATAAAAGAACAGAAAAACAAAAGTGCAATTGAACAAGAAAACTAAAGTTAACAGCAAGGACTCCACAATTCAACAGTTAATACATATGTTCTTTTCTATTGGATTGCTTTATATTACACAGAAATGCTCACTCTATACTTATTTCAGGAGAGAACTGGTATTTTTATTCATGGTCCAAATAAAAATTGCATTTGGAGTCAAGTTTTTGTTTTAGAGATAGAAAAAAGGTGTCAATTAGTCAGTCTTCAAAAACTACCAGTCCTTTGTGGAATAAGTTTAATGGATTAATTTCAAGTTATGTGACCATGATGCCCTTCATCTTTTCTCACAATGCTCTTAAGCAAAGCATGGAAAAGACACCGAAGTCAGCCTTACAGTGATGAGTATTCAGATTCTTTGATTATGTCTTAGAGCCCCCAATAGATAAGTTCCTCATATCTTCTTCACTCTAGACAAGAAAAAAACACAAATCAATTATATGTTCACCAGGCACAAAGTTTATAAATTATATAATAATTAGTTACCTATGAATTGTCTTGTGGTTTGGCCAAATCACAAGACTTGCACAAAGATTTCTAAGCTTCAGCATTATATCTTAATTCACACTGGATTATCACACTGATCTCTACCCAGCATAGGTCCAGTCCTTGACTGATATAATAGCAATAGCAGTAGCAATAGCACTTAGACTTATATACCACTCCATAGCTCTTTACAGCACTCTCTGGGCAGTTTGCAATGTCAGCATATTGCCTCCAACAATCTGGGTCCTCATTTTACCAACCTCAGAAGGATGGAAGACTGAGTCAACCTTGAGCTGTTCAGAATTGGATTGCTGGCTGTAGGCAATGAATTAGCCTGCAATCCTGTATTCTCAGCATTGTGCCATCATGGCTCTTAAGCTAAGGCTATGATGTTACTATAATGTAGAATAAGCAGGATGTAAACCTTTGATTTAAACCACTTAGGGGACTGGAGGCTGAAACATATAGTGAATATTTGCTGGAATTGGGTATGTCTAGTTTAATAAAAGAAGGACGAGGAGTGACATGACAGCAGTGTTCCAATATCTCAGGGGCTGCCACAAACAAGAGGGGGTCAATCTATTTTCCAAAGCACCTGGAGAAGCAATGGATGGAAACTAATCAAGGAGAGAAGCAACCTAGAACTAAGGAGAAATTTCCTGAAAGTTAGAACAATTAATCAGTGGAACAACTTGCCTCTAGAAGTTGTGAATGCTCCAACACTGGAAGTTTTTAAGAAGAGATTGGACAACCATTTGTCTGAAATGGCATAGAGCCGTGATGGCATGCAGAGGTGGCACGCAGAGCCCTCTCTTTGGGCACACGCATGGTTGCCTCCACTCAGACAGCTAGTCGTCGGGTTTCCGAGGCCTACATGCGCGCCGGCCAGCTGGTCATCGGGTTTCTGGCGCTCTGGTGTGCACGCCTTCCAGTTTGGGCACTCTGTGCCTAAAAGGTTTGCCATCACTGGTATAGGGTTTCCTGCCTGTGAAGGGGGTTAGACTAGAAGACCTCCAAGGTCCTTTCTAATTCTGTTATTCTGTTATTCTCATAGCCTTTACTCTGGATATTTATTAATGATTAATTTCTTAATTGTTTTACCCTTGGCTAAAGTCGTAATGAGTTCATCTATATCACTAAACACTTACAGAGAACTTTTACATATGCATATGTGTCCATGAACATATGTTCTGCATCTTTTTATAACTGGGTATTGCTTATTTTTATTTGATTTTTGCATTCAGTTAATAGAAGCAAAAAGTTAAAATCAAAACATAGTTTACACCATGATGGACGATTCACAAATCACACACATACACATTATTCTAAACCATGATCTGGTTTGATTGTTTTTGATTTATTGTGATAAACGAAGCCTTTTATTTTAACTAGAACTGAGGGTATGTTATACTATTAAATCTCTGCCTTATTGCAGATGGAGATGGGAAACAGCGTCATGTTTTTATTTTTAATTTTAGAAGGGATAAAAAGTTGTGAGCAACATTGAAAGTTTCTGAGGAAAAATTCCCTATCAACAGTATATTTTGTTTTCTATTAAGTTTCTAAAAATATTTCTATTTTTATTGCTACTGCATCAGTTTAAAATATGACCCTTGATGTAGAAAGTTATAAATATTGATTTAATTAAAAAATAATAATAAACCATACTGGTAGCCTGACCACTCTTTTGCATACTCCACTGTGTTCCAATGAATTGACATTTTCAAACAGAAAATTCTTCCTAATGCCCACTTTTAAGGTGGTGTGAAAGAGAAAACTTTTCAGCATTGCTTTAAAGAAACAATCCTCTCCCTTTACATTTTATGCATTTCTTTTCTGTGAAAGGATAAATCAAAGGAGGGGAGGACATAGCACTCAGTATGTGACGGAGTCTACATTAGCAAAGCCTTCAGATGTCAGAAATGCTGGAGAAATTGTCTATTGAATTTGCAGGGCTTTTGTCAAAATAAAAACAGATGGCCTGAGGACTTTGTTGTGGCGACATAGACAGAAACAGTAAGTGCATGTATTTCCAGATGTGTGGCATTCATATCTTGCATCTGAAGTCAAAATTCCCCACTTCCTTCCTATTCCTGCAGTGAATCATGAAAAGAAACAGCTCAGCGTATGCTTCTAATCACTAGGAACGAAGATGTTGGCTTTTATGTCCTACTGGCCAGCATTACTAATCCTGAACCTGAGAAATTCAGCAAGGCAATAATTGGAAGTCAATGCCATATCCCATTGCAGAAGTTTAAAATTAAAGGCGAAACCTAGAATAGGTCAAGAACTCCTGCTGAGTTTGGACTGAACAGCGCACCCCTTCCAACGTCATATTAGACTTTGATTTATATCCCATATTTTCTTCAGATTCAAGGCAGTTTCCATGGGAAAGCCCCTTCATTTTATCCCCATATTAAGAAATGTGTAAGGTAGCTTGGGCTGAGAGAGAAAGAGAGTAGTCCAGTGGCTTCTGTGCAAACCACAAGGACAGCAAAATGCTGACAGGTGTAGCAATGTTACCATGCAAATGTTGTCTCTATATACCTGAGCCACAATGTCTGCTTCAAGGATGTCAATCATGACATTTCCAGGAAGATGTTTCGTGCTTGTGTCATAATTTGCCCCTGCATCTCCCACAGTCACCTGTGGACTGCATCCCCTCTGCCCCCATGCCTGTACATATTATTACTTTTTTCTAAGCAAAGAATTTTGCATTTGTCTCTATTAAACTGCTAATCTATGCAGGTCATTTTCTTTTTTCTTTTCATTTTCTACAACCCCATCCAGTTCTGTGTTATCCTCAAAATGGATAAAAATTATTCCACCCCTTTATTTAAATCTTTAATAAAAACACGGAAGAGTACTGAGCTCAATAGCATTCCAGTCTACACTATATTTCACTTGTCTGATGAGGAGGCATTGATAAGCACTCTAAATATGGTTTTCAAGTCAGCTCTGGATTGACCTAATAGGCATGCAGGTCAGCCCACACTTAATATATATATTAGGTTCAAGTCATTCCCATATTCTATTAAAGACCTTACCCAATCAAAAAGTAAAATAAAATTAATGGAATAAGATTCTTTTTATGAATCCAGGCAGACCTCTAGTAAATATTATAATATGCTCAAAGTGTTTTTAGATGGGTCACTTTATTATGTGCTCTAGAATCTTCCTTTATATTGATATCAAGATCCACAGAAAAATGAAGGAATCCAGAACTGCACAGATTTCAGTAAGCTATATTTAACACTGGTCTGAAATAAATACAGAATTTTGGAAACTGTAAGAGGAATTTCTCATCCTTCTTTATAGTGCATGAATTAAGGTGATATTTCTTACAATGATTTTTAAATGCTTCTTCCTTGGTTCTTGATAGTGGTCTACATTGATAAGATAAACCATGGGTTGACTTGTTCTCTGTCAACCTTGCCTTAATTTTTTATACCTGGTCTTCTTCCTTCCATTCTTTTCTCGGCTTCCCCACAAAACTGACAGGTCTAAAGTTGTGAGGTGAGGAGCTATCAAGGTTGGAATCAAAGTTCCTGGGCCCAGACAAGGCTATTATCCAGATATGGTTTCCAGCTGCTTTCGTTATCAAGGCTAAAAAAACAAAACAAAAAACAAAAATAAATAGCAAGAAGCTCATTACCACATAAAGGTGGAAAAAAGAGACACAAGCTTACTGTCTCTAAGTGTGTATATATACATACACGCACACATTGCTTTTTGACACTTTAAAAAATCATTCCTGTGCACTTCGATCTTCATCATGTATACCCTCAGCAATTATTCACATTATGAGCATGTAGTCATTCCTTGCTCCCAGCTACCTCCAATGAATACAAAAATACAGGGATGATTGAATAGTATTTCGCATTTTCAACATTTTTTTCACTTGATGCAATGAATATACAACATGTGTTTGGTTATGGACATGTGATGCAACACCCAGAAAAATACGGCATCCTTCACTTAATCCTCCAGGGAAAGATTGAAGGCAAACGAGGTCCAGGCAGAAGAAGAACATCATGGCTTCAAAACCTAAGGGACTGGTTTAGACAAAACTCAGCAGCACTTTTTCATGAGGCTGTTGACAAAAATAGGATTGCCAACGTCAATATGGCAATATGGTATATGGTACAAGAATAAGAAGGATATGGTACAAGAAGAAGAAGTTTGGTTATTAAGCCATTAGGTTTCAATAGCACTTCATTTGGTTAAGTCAGAAATCACCGTAGTTTGGCATCCTTAGAGAGCAACTCTAATCGTTTGAAGTTACTCAAGTTGGAGCCTTCTCTGGTGGCTTTCTGTGTCCTTCCAGGAACGTCAAGATATATGATATTTTATCTTGTATGACCCCAGGTCAGGATGGCCCTGGAGTTTCCCTCAGAAGTGGTCATCGGAGTCATTTCAATCAGCAGTGAACATGCTGCTCTTTATTTATGTTTGTAAGACCTATTTAAAAATGAGGTCGGATCACTCTGTCAATAGATTGGACACATATTTTCTGTTCTGACTCTAATCTGACTGCCCCTATTAAATGCACCCTGTCCGCCATTCATCTCTGCCATCTTCGCACCCCTCGCTCCAAATCCCGGCAACTTGAAAGCATCTTAGCTAGGATTTCCAAGAAACCCCCAGTGGACAATTACCCTGCATGGCAAAAGAGTAATGTGCCACCTGGTTGGGACTAATTTAAATGGAAATTGCCTGCCTTCGTCTGACAGTCAGCTGAATTATATGCTGAATTTGAACAGCCACATGCTAAGAGGCAATGCCTCCCCCTTTCTAACATATAACATGTTTGCATAAGCATAATCAGCCTGCTCAAGCTTTAGGTTCAGGAATAATTTTCATCTGCATGGCTAGACAAAGGCAGGCATCCAAACACATATTTGCAAATTCTTTTTGCGTTGAAGGAAAAAACATGAATTAGGTCTTTCAGTGGAACCAGGATAGAACCCTGAGTGATCCTGCAAGCTATAGATCTTTATACTGTATATTGTTCCCAGTCGTCATATGATTTGTTTAGAACAGGGGTTCTCAAACTTGGCGGCTTTAAGACTTGTGGACTTCAACTCCCAGAATTCTCCAGCCAGCTGTCTTAAAGCCGCCAAGTTTGAAGACCTCAGGTTTAGAATAACATGGAGTATGAACCCAGCTAGGGGTTGTTTGTAAACTAAGGTTTACAGCTTAATGTAATGTATTGTGGGCCCCTGACAATTATGGATCATTAAGTCAACCATGATTACAGAAATCATGGCTTAACTCAAAATGTGAACCCATTGGGTTACATATTTTTGCAGGTAGAGATCTGTTTTCTATGATTGAAGATGGAGTATCCAGTATTTGGCAGGAGAGATGCGTGTTTTAGCATTCATTTCTCAAAAGTAAAAGTATCAAGTGATCATAGTCTAGGAGAAAAACTGTGGGAAATACCATATTTTTCCGTGTATAAGACACACCTACCTTTTTTGGTGAGGAAAAGAAGAAAAAGAAATCTCCCTCTGCCTCTGAGCAATTCTGCCTCCTTGCAGCAAACAGGAAACAGCCTGCTTTACTTTCATTTTCGTTTTCAGCATAGCTTGATTAGCACAAGGAAAAAAATTGCTCCAGCAATTGCTGCAATTTACCTTGCAGCAAGCAGCAGAGCCCTGCGCAAAACAGCTGAGAGCAAATCAGCTGGGAGTGGGGAGGCTGATCTAATCAGCTTGTGCTAATTAGGCTGTGCTGAAGCTGAAAGGAGATGTTTTTTCTTGCTGTTTGCTTGCAAGGAGGTATCTAATGCGAGGCAGAGGCCAAAGGGTGGGGGCCAGTGGGTGGGCAGAGCTACATTTGGTGTATAAGACGTACCTAAATTTTCATCCCCTTTTAGGGGGGGAAGGTGTGTTTTATACTCCGAAAAATATGGTAGATACAACCGCATTCTATAAAAGTCAAAATCCATGCTGGCTGGGTAGTAGGAACTGAAGTCCAGTATTGGAAGAACAGGTTGGAGACAGCCTGTTATCTCCTGATATCTCCTCTTGGCTTTTCTTGTACCAATAGCATCAATTAAGCAGATTTCTTTGTCCTTCAAAGTGGGTAGTTAGATACATATAACTGTTTTCCCTTTTCCTGCCATTTTTTTTTTCTAATCATACCTGAGGAATTTTCACAACACACTGGGTCTTCAAGAGGCTTGGCCACTTGTTCCAAAATTCAGGCTTCCAGTTCCTGAAGGAGATGATGATGGTGTTGATGACACTATCAGTGATATATCAATTTTTATCTCTCTCTCTCTCTCTCTCTCTCTCTCTCTCTCTCTCTCTCTCTCTCTTTAAAAGACATCTTGAAGGACTCTCTGTTTTTCCAAATTTGGCTATTAGTCCCTTGACTCTGCCCTAGAAAACATTTAAAAACTTCCAGTTATGCAGGATAATGATGTTAGAATTTTAATAGTAGTAAGGTGACTGCATCTTTTATGAACCACTTGGTGGCTCCTGTGTTAAAGGGGAAAATTTTCCCAGCTGACAGGTAAAACCATGCACAAATCAAGACCCTGCAGGAGGAAGATGGGGAAGATGGAATAGATTGGCGCGATGCTGGCAACTTTGTTCTAACACCGGGCTAGCATTTTATAAGGTGGAAAAACCTTGGGAGTTCTATTCCTACTGGAAGAAGATGGAAAGGAAGAGATCTCTGAATGTTATTATCCCAGACAGAAAAATATTTGAGAGCAGCCAAAGAGCTGGTGAAGCAGCAAGTGGAATCAGCAGGCGTTGCCTCCAGAAACCCCAGCAGAAAGTTGTCCGTTCATGGACAGAATCTTTTACTCAGAGGATAGATGCAATCTCAATCTGTTACGCAAACTAGAATTCTATCCACATGTAACTAGGGAAAAAAATCTTCTTTGAACTCAGTGAGACTTAAGTGTGGGGAAAGTGTACATAGGAACATACTGTTATATAATTAAAACCTGACGTTATAGATTGGTATATTTGGACTCAATTCTGAACAAAATTAAAAACTATTGGTCATATGTACCTCCCCCCCTCCAGTTCATAACAGTTGGAAAAGTTAGATGGAAACAGGTTTCTCCACTGTCAACATTTGAAAGAGAAAGTGCTGCATTGTTTTGTACACTCCAAAACAACTTCTGCCCTCTTGGACACCTCATCTAAATGGAACAGAGGGAGTTTTTGCAATTTCACTACCCTGATGTGGTGAGGTGACTGATGGCATAATGAAAAACTAATAGGAGAAAATTGTTTTTGAAAACAATTACAAGAGAGTGCTCTTAGGGGGTCTCAAGTGACCCTGTGGACAGTTGCTGAGATAACACTGTGAAATTTCAATTAAAAATTAAAATGATTTGACCTTCATTTAATGGAGTTGCAGAAATTCTGCACAGAACAAAGAAAACTATGTCAGAAAAATACTTCCCATTTGATGCAAGTTGATGCAAGAGGCTCCTGAAAATAACTCCTGTAGAGTATATATACTGGTGGTAGAATTAGAAACTGGTCGTGAGGTTGTCATTTGCCTTAGGTTCTTTTATATAGAAAAATTGATAATCAGCATCAAGGAAAATGTGCAAGGATTCTTCCTCATTCATTTATTTTATTTTTATTTATTAATTAAGGTTGACAGGGAGCAAATTTATTTATCAAATTTATTTGCTGCCCACCTTGTGGTTCAGGTGACGTCTGCATTCTTTAGTCCTAGAGTTACCAGAAAAGTTGACTGGCAAAAAAAAAATTGTGTTTCCCAGGTAGCTGAAATATTTTTTTTCCTGCCTTAATGATGTGCCCGGTGGGTAGGAGTCTTCCTTACAGGCGTAATTCTGAGTGGCGATTGTGGATTTCCTGGGTTTTGTTTCCCGTCCCACTAATGTTATCTACTTCTAGGGAAAAGAATCATCAATTACCCTCCTTAACGTGGGGCAGGGTTTCAAAATTTTTTACTGTGGGTTCTGTGGGCGTGTCTTGGTGGGCGTGGAATGACTTGGTAGGCGTGGCTTGGTGGGCATAGCAAGGGAAGGATACTGTAAAATCTCCATTCCCTCCCCAATCCAGGGGAAGGTTACTGCAAATTCCCCATTTCCTCCCGATCAGTGGGACTCAGGAGGCAGAGAATAGATGGGTGTGGGGCCAGTCAGCATTTTTACTACTGGTTCTCCGAACGACTCAAAATTTTCGCTACCGGTTCTCCAGAACTGGTCATAACCTGCTGAAACCCATCTCTGGCAGGGATGGACAAATGCAGATTGGTAAATTTTAATCTCCCCCCCCTCTCTCTCTCGTGTAAAGAGGGGGAAAGAATGAAAAAGGCACTGACTTCCAACTCTCTTTAGCACAGTAGAAGATAACAACACTACAACCACAACTTTTAACTTTTACAAACAGTATATACTGGCCATTTCTGTAGCAACAAACCTATCTAATTAGCAAAAACAAAATCAAAGTTTCATTTTTTTTCATGGCAAGAACAAAATCTGGAAGCAATTTCCAAATAGAAACAAAGTTAAATATATTCCTTTCTTTGCTTAAAAGAATCAATTTGATCACCTCTGCTTCTCCTTGCTGTGGGGAATAATATGTATTTCTGTTTACTTATTAATCTTTATCATAATTTATATTAAAAGAATTCCCTATATTATTTCAATTTTTTAACCCTAAGCAGAGAGAAAAAAAAAACCCTTCTCTCTTGTGGTTTATTATGCTGTATGGTGGATCACTAAAATATTAGAGGATCATTTTGCACCCAGATACAGAGGAGGCAACCAGGGAATGAACACACACATGCACGAGTACACACATACAAACACACATGATTACAGGATGGGAGAATCTCTATAGCAGCTTCAAGTAAAACCTCAGTATCATCATATCATATGCCATAAGTACTGGTATGAGATTTTAAAAAGATATTTAATCAATTCCTGGAGGGTCCCTGATTTCCTTCCCCTGAATCATAGGCAATCTATCGTGGATACCATATCATCGTCTATTGTATGATGCAGAACTCTGGACTGGATGGGGTTATCATCTTGAACCATCAGATCTCTTAAAAGTTGTTCTATAACAGGTGGTCCTTGATTTATGACTACAATTGAGCCCAAATTTTCAGGTTGCAAAATAGAATTAGAAGGCTTTATATATATATCTCTGGAACTCCATCATATTTATCCAACAACGAATCTGGAGAGCAGAGCAGCCTAATGCTGCAGCTGGTACTTAGCGCATTAGCCCATTGTTCTGTCATTTGGCTCACTGCTGGGTCAAATGGTTAATCTGGAAAGCCACATGGTTCTGAAGTTTAGCCACTCGGTCCTCCATGCTGGAACAAGGTGTTCAGCAGTAAATGGCATACCCAGGTCTGTTGTTAGGATTCTGGATCTACAAGCTCAAAGCAAGGTGACCTGCCATGAAGGGATCTCTATGGATGTGATAAAAAAAAAAATCAAGGTGATGGTCATGACCATGTGATTGAAGGTCCACCTGTTTTGTTTTATGTATATAATGTGTACAATCCACAGGAAAACCAGGTGGAATATCAGTTGCTCTGTGGTGGCTGCTATCTTGACTTTTTGGCCTTCTCTGTCTCATGTACTGAAATCATTGAGTGTCTGGAGTTACTGTCATGCCGTTGTTCCAAAGGGACAGCAGGACAATTGATGTCCTTTCAAATAGATTTGATCTCACTGAGTTCAGGGCTGTCAAACTCGCGGCCAGCAGGCCAGATGCGTCATGCACTGGCCACGCCCATGCCTGTTTTAGCGAAAGGGAAAAATGTCCCGATAAGTCACATGATGCCACTGTGACAACACAAATTTGACACCCCTGGTTTAGATAATTTCTAGACAGGGGTGGGTTCTAATTTTTTTTTTACTACCGGTTCTGTGGGTGTGGCTTATTTTGTGGGTGTGGCTTGATGGTCATGAGATAATTATTTATGATTGCACTGATCTACTCTTGTATTTTTGCAGGCACTGGTCTACCCATTTATTTTTGCAGGCACTGATCTACTCATGTATTTTTGCAGGCACTGGTCTACCCATTTATTTTTGCAGGCACCGGGCTACTCATTTGTTTTCTTTTAACACTGATCAGCGGTAGGGCGGCCCTTTGAAGCCCCACGGCAAGAGTTTAAACAGTTTTTTTCCCTCTAGCCATCAGCTGGGACTCAGGAGGCAGCAATAGATTGGGGGTGGGGCCAAATAAAAGATAAGATTAATGCGGGGGGTGGGGGGTGCGGGGGTGGGGGGGCACAACCGATTTGGTGACATCATATCGTCACTGCTACTGGCTCGGCGGAACCGGGCGGAACCCACCACTGTTTCTAGATGACATCACATATAGGAATCCAAAAGAGCTGACTGAGAAACAATGACTACATGGCTAGGACTGTCCATTTTAAGGATCCCGGTTTCGGGGGGGGGGGGGAACAGCTTGGGAAAGCCTCTCTTGGTGTATTTATATATGAAAGAGAGTTTATAATACTGATGTAGTGGATCACAGGCATTTAACAAGCACAGAAGTGTAAAATGGAAAACACAACTGTGCAATCCTATTTCACAAGCATATTCCTTTTGGTCCCCTAGCCTGATGTGCTGTCTGGGAAGTTTGTTGCCGGTATAAGGAAGCAAACATCTGGCCCCACTTCAACAAAGCAGGGAATGAACCTGAGACCTTCTGCTTACAAACTTGTGCTCTGCTGCCAAGTTGTGGCCCCTCCAATAAGTGACTTATTAAATGCTCCATTATGCATTGATTTTTTTTACCACTGCAAAATGTAAGACATTGCTAATTTTTTCTCATATTTGTGCAATAATGGATTAAAGGTGATTCTGGCATTCATATTTGTGCACTGGTCATTTCCAAGAGGAAGAATGCAAGGATTGATTGCAAAATTCTTTTTTTTTTTTTAACTTTGAATAGTCACTAAATGAGGCAATCGGTAAGCAAGGACTACCCGTATACATATTAAATTTGCAAATGCAAAGCCAAACAACCCAATATAGTTGTTTATGTTGTTTGGCCATATATCGTCTTTGTGACCTGATAGAGGTCATTGTACCAGGTTTGTCTGTCTTTCACTGCTTCTTTGAAAACTAGTAATATTTAATCCCTTCGTCTTCTGCTGGATTCTTTTTTCATTATCTTTGATTCTTTCCCACGTATCAGGATTTTCTCTGATAATTCTCATCTCTGCACTTTACAATTTCAGCTTTAGGAGTACAAAATCTAAATAGGCAGCACTTCTTATAACCTGCAGAACTGGCAGTTTTTCCTTCAAAATATGCTCATGATTGGAATACAGATTGCCTTCGATTTACAGTCATATTTGGGACTGAAGCGTCCGTTGTTAAGCAATGTCATTAAATGAGTCAGCACGTGACTGCTGATTTTATTGACTTTTAATAAACTAATCATGCAGTTGTTAAACGAATCCAGCTTCCCCCAATGACTTTGCATGTCGGAAGACGGCTGGGAAGGTTGCAGATGATAATCATGTCACCTCAGGAGACTGCAACTGTCATAATAAATACATGACAGCTGAATCTCAATCACATTTGTTAAGTGAGTCACTGCAGTTGTTCCTAACATGCTGTTAACTGAATCTGGCTTCCCCATTGACTTTGCTTGTCAGAAGGTTGGGGGATTACGTGACCCCGGGACACTGCAACCGTCATAAATATGAGTCAGTTGACAAGCTTCTGAATTTTGATCACATGACCATGGAGATGCTGCAATGGTCATAAGTGTGAAAAACGGTCATAAGTCACTTTTCCAGTGCCACTGTAACTTCAATCGGTCACTAAACAAAGTCGAGGACTAGCTGTATTCCTAAATCTATCAACCCTACAATGGTATTGCCACCATGCTCACCAAGCCACGCTTATTACCTCTTTTCTTATTTTTCCATTTCTCCTTCAGCTTCTTATTTCTTCGGCTGAAATTCTTGAGCTGATCAGGATTCACGTCAGGCACGCATCTCTTCTGTGGAGCTGCCAAATGTCGTAGCAGTTCCCACCCTTTTCTTCTGCATCCCTGTTCCAGGGTGGCTGCCACTGATCTTGCTGCAGCTGCTGCAGAGGGAGGAGAAGAAAAAAAAGGGGGGGAGGGGGACCCATTAGTAGCCTTTCTCTCCCCCCCCCATCCATGCAGCAAAAAAAAGGACCATTAACAAGCCCAGCGGATGGTTTGGCACTGCTGCCTTTCATGAGAAGTTAGCAGCCACCATTGTGAGCCTATCCAGCTTCTGTACATAGAAAAGAAAGTGATCACTCGGGTGACTTGAGCAGATGGTTGGGTGTTGTTGTTTTTTTTGTTTTTATAAGAAGAAAAAGCGAGGCAGCCCTTTCCTGTTTTTGAAAACATCTGAATGGAACTGAGCAGCCTTGGCAGTTGTCTTCTCCTTCTCCTTCTCCTTCTCCTTCTCCTTCTCCTTCTCCTTCTCCTTCTCCTCCTCCTCCTCCTCCTCCTCCTCCTCCTCCTCCTTCTTCTTCTTTTGTGTTAGCCAGCTACAGGGAAACTGTGTATCATATGAAATTTGACTTGCCTGCAGGATTTTCCTCTTTTCGAGAAGCCAATTATCCTGGAGCAGTTTTATTGATTGTTCTGGGACAGTAGGGGATTCTCCAGATTCCAGAACTATTGGCTGCTTATTAGAGACCAATTAGATGCTAATTCCAAACTAACTCTGCCTACAGCCCATGGAATATGCTGAACAGGCTTTCCACATAATGCCAAGATCTGGGTTGTCACCTCTTCTGGAGGGAAATCCATTTCCTGCTTCCTCCAGCTGAGCTGGTCTAGTAGAGGCTGATCTAGGAAGAATGAGGATTCTTAGGAAAAGGAAACAAATCCAATTCCCTTTTGTTTAATGTGCTGTCTGCACAGTAAATCAAGCCACCATATGCACTGATGATGCTGCCTAGTTGGGTGATAAAATCTCTGACCAATCTCAGAGAGCACCAAGGACCTTACAGAATGTACCCTGAGCTATAAATACTCTCTTCTATTAAAGCCACCATAATTTGGCAGCCTTTCTCAGGGATCAGCAATGAGGACAGCAAAAGCTTATTTTGACTTAAAGAGGAGTGCTTATGCTTTAATAATACTTTATAGATCTAATAAGTTTATCTTTCGCAAGAGATTCTAATGTTAATGTAGGTTTTAACTTTTTTTTTTTTTTTTGCTTCTTTACAACCTACACAGTTTTCATCCTAAAACTTTGAGCTTCTGGTCTAAGAGCATCTTCAGTCATTCTGATGGCCTCAAAACATTTCATGATCAACTTTTACTAATCTCCCATCTGTCTCTGCAATGATTAGGAGTCACTCCCAGTTCAATGGCATCTAACTGACTAACCAGACCCATCTGTTAATTTTATTAGAGTTTCCTTATAAGTTTTTTTTTTAATCTGAAGAGTGATTCATCCAGCAATTAAAACTCTGGGGTTTTTTTAGTAAGAAAAAACATACTGCATTGTGAATGATAGTAGTGGTATTTTATCACTAGGAAGTCCGTGATCATTTTACCTTTCTGTTTCTGACCTTTAGAAAGCCAAGATACTTTTTAATAATTCTTAAGGGGCAGTTGCAATGAGGACAGCATAAATAAGATGGATATGTCAATGTAACTCGTATAGAAGGACTATAATTGTTTTTGACTACAGTTCATTGCCTCTTGTAATAGCACTAGTTTCACATTCATGCACTAAAGATCGAGCAAAAGCTGACCGCATTTAGATGCTATGTTTCCACTGCAGTATTTATTTATTTTTAGATCTGGCCTTCCTTCCATAGTGGACCTCAAGCTGTTATATAGTGGGGTCCCAGAAGGCATGTATGGCTATTGGCAAGTCTCAGCTTTGCAAAAGCGATTCTTGTTCTGCTCTACAGCCTTCAACAATTGGCTGCCATCCAAGTCCTGGATAATGGGAAAGTTCTCAAAGACTAGCCTTCAACTCTAATAAATACATAAATAAAAACAACACCCTCAAGAATCAAATGAGAACATTGTTTATTATGCATCTTTGAGGACGTAGGTAAATTCTTCTACCCCTGAAATCAGCCATCATTTAATCTATTTTCTTATCCATGAAAATGTTTGGATAGTAAGTCCTTAAGGAGCACACCGTCACAAGGTTTAACTGCATCCACAGTTCAGAATAGACACATGAGAAATGGCTTTGCTTGATTTCTCTTTTAAATGGTACTAAGTCCTCAGAATTTTCAAACAATGAATTCTAACCGCAGCACTTGAAAATACTTCTGTATGATAAGGCAGTTGTACTATCAGAAGCGGATTCACAGAGGTGGGCTGAGGTAATGTAACCTGTGAGGCATGTCTTCCTTTATTATTTAATGCAAACCATGTCCTAATCCACCTATAGTTATTGTCCTCTGCACAAGCTCCATGGACTTCCAATAGAAGTTTTTTTTGTATACCTCTATCATCTAACATAACATCATCCTAAATTTGTCAGCTGATGAAGCCTTATGGAAGCACAGCCAATAATTAGAAATATAGCTTAATATCCACAAGGATTGTTCTCTTCAACTTATTTATTTATTTTTTATTTAATATAATTTGTATGCCGCCTTATCTCCGTAGGACTCAGGGCAGCTCACAGCAAATAAAAACAAACCTAATAAAACGCAAAATACATAAATATGCATACATAAAATACATAAATGTATAAATATATAATTTAAACATATATTAAAACCCATTAAAATAATCAAAAAACCCCTCAGTCCAGGCTGGGCGATGTGAACAGCCATGTTTTTAATTTGTGGCAGAAGGTGCGAAGGTCAGGAGCCAACCGAAGCCCCAGGGGGAGTTGATTCCAAAGAATAGGCGCGCCCACAGAGAAAGCTCTACCCCTGGGGGCCGCCAGCCGACATTGTCTAGCCGACGGCACCCAGAGAAGGCCCTCCCTGTGAGAACGCACTTGTAGGTCTGTGTGTGTGTGTGCGTGTGCACGCGCGTGCGCGTGCGTGCGTGTGTGTGTTATTCTGCTCTTGAATGGATCGAATAACAAATCCTAGTCCACCCATGGACTACTTTCTCCAAACACTCCTTCTACATCCTTTTCCTAGTTTCCTAGTACTTAATTCCCCCTTTGCTGATTCAATTTATGTTACAAGATCAAACATGCAGATAACACATATGTACATATGCACATCTGCCCTTTGTGTCCTGATCAGTGTACACTTGAAGACCTCATGGCAGCGCAACAGAACGCAATTAATATTGCTAGTTCCTGGGCAAGATCTGTTTAACTAGTACATGTTTTAATCTTGCTTTTTATATTTTAAATTTTACGTCATTTGGTTTGCCCAATTTTAATTGTGATGCTTCTGACATGAATAATCAAACAAAGATCAACCTTATTCAGCTGGCACCCTATGAACAATAAATAAGACTGTTCCTTCTTATCTGCTGGGTTCCTGACATTTGAATCAATAGATTAATCAGAAATTCGTAGGGAAGAAGAAAAAAAATCCTCATTTTTTTTTTTTGTTAGACATAAATATTACCAGCTGCCTCTGTTGTTGGTCTACTCTAAGCTTTACTCTAATCACACTTGGACAGAGCTGTCCCTATTGATCCTTGAGTAATTTATGGTTCACCAGGAGAACATGACATACCTCTCTAAGCTGCTGATTGTCAAGAGTTCACCAATTTCTTGTTAGCTATTTCAAGAAGGAGCTTAGAGTCTGCCACAGATACTTGTGGGTTAATGCTTAAAACGTGGGATGGCTGTCAAGCAACATTTGGTTTGCCTCTCTTTTGTACTTCTGAAATGATTTTATGAAAGGCAACCTTACATGGACTGCCAATGGGATTCCATACAACAGGTACTGGAAAATCGCACTGTGAGAATCTTCCATTTCTTACGGGTTTTCCAAAATAATTCCTGCAATTACTCAGAAGTGTTTTTAAAATGTAAATGCAGCATCTATTGAGGAATTTTATAAGGGCGCTGCTCAACATCAAATACTACTTTGTTGATGGCTTCTAGTGAGTAAAGTGAAACTCACTCTGTTCCATGGAGTAGCTTTCCACACTTGGATATTTTTAGATTCTTTTTCCCTGTTCTTTTCTCTTCCCTGTTTTTCCCCCTTCTCCAAAGATAGTACCACCTAATTATCATGTTTCATCCTGAAAACATCTCAAGAAGTCCTTTCTAGCTGTTTCTTGACTTTAGATGCCTTGTGTTCATTCTGCAGTTGAACATTGGCAGTTACTTCTCATGAATTAAGGAAACTACTCTCTTAACAATCTGGAATACAGTACAGTACCTCATTTAATAACCATTTGCTTAGCAACTGTTTGAAGTCATGAGGACACTGAAAAAAGTCAATATGCTTACAACTGTCACAGCGTTCCTGTAGTCATATGATTGTGATTTGGATGCTTAGCACGCATAGAATGGTTGCAGCATCCACAGATCTCCATTTGTGAGCATCTCAGATGCCTCACTTTACAATTTCAGGTGATTTGCTTAATGACCACTGAAAGACTTCACCCAAGACTGCTGAAACTGCCTTCATAAATCAGTGCAGTCAGTTAATGCTTAACAACTGCATTGCTTACTGATGGAGTTGCATGTCTCAGTTAAGTAATGACTATCTGTACTAGCATTTTCACCTCTGAATATTTATCCCTACCAAATCAATATTTAATGGCCACTGACGTTGCTGCAGGAATTGGATTTGAAAGATTTTCCCCAAGAGAGATGCTGACGGTGGTCTGGACGGAGAATAACTGAAATATCCTTGGATATAGAACCAGCAGAAAGGGAAGGAACAGAACTGGCTGTCTTTGGCCATGCTGATTGGGAATTCTGGAAAAGGTCATTCAGAAACATCTGGAGAACATCAAGTTGGGAATAACTTCTAGATAACTATGGTCTCCCTATCCTAACCCTTAAAAAATCCTCTCCACAGCAGGACTTTTTCCATGTCTCTTGAATAACAGACTTGAGGATGATGACTTTGTTTCAACTGTAGGGTAGACGCCATTTTGTATTTGCCTACATGGCAGTGTCATGAAAGGGTCATATTACTCGTAGGCACCCAGTTGTCTACTTGGAGTGGTGAAGTGGCCTAGAGATGGAGCTCTCACTTCACAATCAGGAGGCTGTGAGTTTGATCCTAGGTAGCGGCAAATATTTCTCTCTCTAGGCACAATGAGAAAATATCTGCAGCGAACTCCGCATTGGTGACAGGAAGGGCATTGGGCCAGTAAACACTCAGCTCTATTCAGTTGTCCCAACTCCACTCCGATGCAAGGGATTATAGGGGCATTAAAAGACCAAAAAAACCCAAACAAAACTCCAGTTGTCCACCTCAATATATTTAAGCA